AGAATATCTTCTTTGCCAGTAACCTTCTCCTGTCTCAGATGCTCCCACACTCCCAGGCACCATCTGACACAGCCTTGTCAGGAAGGTGAAGAGGTGCCACCTCCACCCAACACCACAAGGCTCAAAAGAATCTTTTGCAGATCCAGAAAGAGCAGTGAAATGCTGTTTTTACCTGTTACAATTATCACTTGGAGAGAGAGGTTAATAATCTTATTAAGCTGTAACAAAAGGAAAAAAAAAAAAAGTTGACCACTAAAACCTGAGCTCACACTGGGAAAATTTCTCCAGTAAATTTTTTTCAGGGGAGGCAGTGTGAAGGTGGAGGTGGGCTCAGTTCTTCACAGCATTTTGAAGCCACAGCTCAGGAGGAGGATGGAGCACTGCACAGTATCCAGGAAAGAGAGATTTGATTTATAAGTGAAGCATCAGCAAATGTCTTAAAAGGTCTCCTGAGAGTTTGTAATACTCTGGAAGAGCTGAGAGTAATAAAATGGAATAAAATCAATGACAGAGCCAAGTTTCTATCCTGCCCAGAACCAGCACAGTGAGTGCTGCTTCCTCTGGGCAGCGGGGACCCTGCAGTGGGGGTCTGAATGCTTTGTCCACTCCAAGGTGAGGAGCTGGGAATGGTCCAGCTCCTGCTGAGGCCTGACGACCTTCATCAAGAGAGAAGGTGCTTCACCAGGTATCAGAAACATCCTTCTGATAATTCTGGTATCACTTGGCACTCCTGTGATTACCCAAGGACTTTAATTGTCTCTTTGTCTGTCATGGAACTGTGGATTTATTCAGAGGTTTGGATGGTGACAAGAGTGAAGAAAGTATCTAGATTTCTTGCAGAAATATCAGATGCTGGGAAATGGGTCTGTAAATAACAAAAATTTTGTGCTCAATGAACATTTTCTAGTTGTATTTGATGAATTGGAATTATGGTTATCATCAAAGAAGTTCTGGAGAGCCAGTTACTACAGCACATAAAGATCATCAGCTTGGACCTGCAAGTGATGTGCTGGTAGTGTCCTCTCAGGCAGGAGATGTGAAATGTTACAGCTCTCATTTTGCTGGGGAAAAAAAATTATCCCAGCTACAATACCATCCATCTTTTCCTGCATATGGAACATTATCACCAAGTGTCAGTGGCAGCACCTGACACTTCCAGGCTGGCCTGATAACACACCTCCCATCCCAGCTACGTGCCAGACAAACATGTGGAGCAGCTCCAAAGCCATGGCAGCTTTCATGGCACAGATTTGTGGAAAAGAGCAGTCCACGGCTGTTGTGGGTGAACATATGCAAGGCAGCAGAGAAATCAGGCTGCTGGAGCTGCAGCAGGCACCACAAACCAAAAATAAGTGTCTCTGTAGCCTTTAGGCCAAGACTAGCACTAACTAGACCAGTTAATCAGAAGACCATTAAAGTCTCTCTCATTTCAAGCAGAGTGGAGTGAATCCAAAAATCTCTTTGCCAAATGTGTGGTCCTGCTAATCTTCTTTTTTTTTTGGGTGTTGGTTCAATCAGCATTGTTGCATTTGTTTTCTCAAAAGGGCCTGCCCAGGGCTGTTACCTACACATTGAGGGGAAAATTACTTTTTGCATTATAATTCCTAGTTTGAAATGAACATTGCAGTAATTTTAAACGGGCTTAGCTTAGACTTGGTGAAATCTTTGGTTCAGCCTGATCCGTCTGCTCTAAGGCTGTCAAACTGAAAGGAATTAAAATGCAGAGAAAGTGATTTAGAAAAAAAAATGCAGCCTGGCAATTTAACTTTGCTACAGGGATAAAGTTTTAAGAAATGATTCGCAGTTTGGGTGTCTTTCGCCTTGGGAGCCTGAGGTTGGACTCATTAAAGAAAAACAATTTTCAGAAAATATTGAACACCCACCTTTCCTCAGCAGGCGGGTAAAGATGATCTGTTTGAAAATCTCAGCTCCGTCTTAAATTAAAAATAATAAAAATTAAGGTACAATGGAGTAACTGTGATACTCCACAGGCAACAAGGCCAAAAGCAGATTGGAGAAGAGGAAACACCAGTGAAAAGGCAGCAGTGATGCTCATGTTAGAAGGATGTGGAAATAAATAGGATTTAAAATTATTCCAAAGTACTACTCACAGAATAGTGGCAGAACAAGAGGTAGTCAATATTCTTTGGTTATGAGGACAGAGACCATGAGGTCTCCAGGATTTTGGGACTTGTTCCTGCTAGGTGTGAAATAATGCAAACTGGAGGACTTTTACAGGGATCTGGATGGGTGACCTCCTTTCAAGATGATAATTTTGGTGATGTGGGGACTCTTCTGCTTTAAGAAAGATGAATTAGGGAATTCAAGGCCCTAGGTGTGCATCTCATCTTTAAATTTAAATTTAAAGTCCTAGATGTATATCTCATCTTTAAATTTAAATTTAAATTAATAAATAAATAATTGGGAATAAAAACAGAGGGATATGATGTAATTTTCTTCCTAATAAAATGCTGAACCTAAAACCCATTGATGGTGAAAAAGGAGCAAGGAGTTCAAAATTAATCCCATTACTGTGCTCTAAAACATCATTAATAGGTATAGAGGTTTTGGCAAATCCTGCTATTTTATTACTACCCTTTGTCCTAAATATTTAATAGCTGGTTTTTATTTCTTTTATTAAATAGTCACTTTAGAAGGAAGATAAACTCCCTCTTAGTGACATTCAGGAGCACACAACCTAGAGGGTCTGGCAAAGGAGGTTTTTGGGAAGGATCCACAGGAATTAGCAGGCTCAGCAAAGGGGTGAGGAGGAACCACAGGCTGGGTCATCCCATGGCAGTGTGTCCAGGCAGTGCTGCAGGGGGCTGATATTGCATTTTCAGGGTGATAATCTCATGCTGATCAATTCTGAGACCACACCCCGCAGTCCCCGCACACGCAGAATAAAAACGGCGCTTCCCGAGGAGCCCCATTCATTCCACTGGGACTCTCTTGTAATCAATATATTTGTTCCCAAATTATAGTGCTATTGGTCCAACTTGATCTTTATTCCCATGAACCAATTGTATGTGCAGAAGGCCTGGAAACGATGCCACAGCCAGGGCTGCTCTCTTCCCACTCCCATTGTTCCAGGACTCCCGTCCTTGGAGTTATTGTTCAAGCTGCCAGTTATCTCTGAGTGCTCCCAGCAGATGTTGGGGGGAGGGGGCAATTTATTTCTTTCTTTTTATGAAGTTTGCCTCTTTATGGGCCAGCCCCGACAAGATATTAATGCACTTTGCACTCCCCTACCCGTGTTTTCTCTCTTAAGTTGGAAAATATTCAGAGAGGAAAAAATGTGTTTTCTTGCTGTTCAAAATAATAATAATTTGCCTGTGGAAATTTCCTACTGACTTGAAAAGGAGCCCTAAATTTGCTGATAGTAAATAAAGGACAATACTGCTTTCACTAGTCAGTGTAGCTGTTCTTGGAGATTTTCATGGGTGCTGATCGTGTGCAGAGCTGCACACAATGAGGTGTTTCTGGTTTGTGAACATCCACCAAAGTCCAGCACTTATTTTTGTCTGGGATAGAACAAAAACCAAGAATCTGGGGCTGGTGTTTGAAGATGTGGGATTGTATCAACATCCTACTCTGCAAATCAAAACCTAGCATAAGAAAGTTTTTTAGATTTGGGAGTGTTAGATAATCTTAGTAGACAGAAGAAACTTCTGAGCCATAGCTTGGTCTCTGGGGTGGTTTTCCTGGTCATAAGAGATGGGAGGTTAAAGCTCCTTCTGAAGAAGAGCTTTTCACTCTAAATCTTCTTGATGAAACACTCAACCCCAAATCGAGTGATGGGGTATGACAGCTCTCTGTTTTCTGCTCTCTCATGTGCACACAAGAAATGAGCAGGGAATCCTAGAAGAAAGCTGCTTGATGTGGATTTTCTCTATAGAGCATTTTACCCTTGATTATAGAATCATAGAACCACAGAACTGTTTGGGTTAAAAGGGATATTAAAACTCATCTCATTCCAACCCCTTCCCATGGACAGGGACAATTTCCACTAGATCAGGTTGCTCCAAGCCCTATCCAACCTGGCTTTGAACACTTCCAGGGATTGGGCATCCAATGATTCTTCCTGTTTTGGTGACATCTCAAGAAGTAGACAATGTCCCAGCCAGTTCTGCTCTAGTGCAGGTTAAAATGTAGAGCACCTCAATCAACAGAGCCCATGGCATCCCCATGGAGAGCTCACACCTTTGCAAGCTCACACCCCATCCAAAGTTGGCTTATCTCCCTGCCTAGCCTTAACATTATTTCTAAATACTTAACCAGCAACAAAACAAAATGAAAAATAATCCACGCCGTGCCCAGTTAGGGATTAGAAATGTTAACTGCCCAGTGCCTTTTCCTGCAGGGGCACGCTGCCCCTACACCTTTAATTAGGGTAGCCCGTGGTCCTTGCCATAAAGCTGATAAGTAATAAATAGCTGCCTTTGTCACATGCAAGTTCAGCATTGTGAAACGGCACACGGACGGCTTTAAAAAGCCTTTGATTAAACCCAGCACTACAGTAAATCTACAAACACAGAGGAAAGAAAAGAAGCTATTTAGTCTGTGCCAGTTCCCGGCATTAAGTATGCAAATTTCTCGGTGTCTTCAGCTCCCAAGAACAGCAGGCGCTGAATGCAGCAGCAGCAGCAAGCGGCACGACATCATTCATTTCAATCATTAAAACAAAAGCGGGATAAATCGCTACCTAATTTGTAAAATATGCTTATCATATAGGCTCTTTGGTCTTTAAGAAAAGCACCAGCTGAATGAGAATCACTGCATTATTTTGGGAAAAAAAAAAATCATAGAATCAATTCTGGCTTTCCCCCTTCTCTCAATGATTGTTCTTTTATTTCTCTTTTCTCTTTCTCTTTCTCTTTCTCTTTCTCTTTCTCTTTCTCTTTCTCTTTCTCTTTCTCTTTCTCTTTCTCTTTCTTCTTCCCTTTTCCTTTCCTCTTCCCCTTCCCTTTTCTCTTTTTTTCCTCTGTTTCCCTTCTCAGTTTCAGGTAAAACCAATCTGTAGCCATCCCTCAAGCTCCCACATCAAGCCTAGGGAAAATCAGTCTTTTTACCTGAACATGTAAAACTCAACAGTCCCATCTCTGTCCTCTCACTCCCCTTTTCAAAAAAAAAAAAAAAAAAAAAAAAAAATAAATAAATAAAATAAATCAGAGTAACACTATCTGCTGGAGCTCTGTGCTGGGCATCCCCCATCACTGTCCCATCCAGCCCCTGCTGCCATCCTTGTGCAGTCACTCAGCAATCTCCATCCCCCCTGCATGGGAGAATATGTATCCAGACAGCCTGATCCTACATCCTGCAAGAGAGGGACAAACTGTTCCTGTCCTCTCTCCCTGATTCCAGGTGCTCAGCTCAGACTCCTTACAAACAGCAGCAGAGAGGATTATTGGTACCCAGGGAGCATCACCCATGGACCCATAAAGAGGCTAAATTCTCCCCCATCTGAATGTGTAGTGGCCTGCAGGTAACCTCTTTTCCCAGTTAGATTGTTCCTTTCCCATGAACTCCACCAGCCTCTCTCCGTGGCTCTGTGGGGTGCAGGGGACACAAACGCTGGCAGGGGCTGCCCCTGTAACCTGCCACTGCCTGCGTGGCTGCTCTGCCTGTGCTCCAGGACGTGTGTGTGATGAGAAACGGGGCCAACAGCCCTGCTCTTGTATGAAAAGTGTCCTTTGATGCTCCCCCAGCTGTTCAGCCATTCAGCTGTTCCAGGATAGTGCCTCTGGCAGTACAGCTCCCCGCTGTGGCTACGCTGGGGCGTCAGCAGATGGAGCATATCGTGGTTATTGAAGCTGGATACAGTGGCTGTCAGCAGCCTCGCATTGCCTGGCATATGCAAATAGACCCCAGGCATCTGCTTGTGTCTTGGGCTGGACACGTGCAAAAAAATGGGAAAAGAAACCTCTCGCTTTGGGAGCCCCAGTGGCCCTGCATGGGCACCGTGTGATCCGTGAGGAGGTGGAGAGAAAGCCAGGGAAGGGGGAGTGTTCCAAAGTAGCAGAAATACAAATGGTAATGCAAAATGCACACCTGAGAGGTGACCTGGGCGCTGCTGGGACTGGGGGATGTGACAGCACAGCCACAGATGGGAGCAGCACCTGCAGCCCCAGCACCAAGGGCAGCTATTGGAACAGGGACTCCAAAGAAATAAAGATGAGGCAACAGGGAGAAACTGATGCACAGGAAGTTCCACCTAAGTACGAGGAAGAACTTCTTGCCTGTGCAGTAACTGAGCACTGAACAAATTGCCCAGAGATGGCGTGGAAATATCCAGACCATCTGGAGATGTTCCAGAACCACCTGGGTGTGATCTGAGGTGGCCCTGCTTGAGCAGGGACGTTGGACCAGGGACCCACTGGGATCCCTTCCAACCTGACCCCTTCTGTGAAATGCTTGATGCACCTCAGAACCTCGTGACACCTTTTACTTCCCTTAGGTATCAGTGAATCATAGAATATCCTGAGCTGGAAGGGAGACACAAGGATCATCAAGTCCTGCTCTTGGCCCTGTACATGACAATGCTAAGAATAACACCATCAGTTTAATTTCTGGTTGGTAGAACTACCAAAAAAGGGAAATTAAATGCTAGTTTATCTCCAACTTTTTCCAGTGTCCATGTGTCACCTGGTCAGTCAGCAGATGAACAAGCCAAGGGCATAAAAGATCCAGCCCAAAGTGGTGCTGTTTGCACCAGTTATAAACTCTGCACCTTTCTACATGGAGCTCACAGTCCAATCAGTGTCTACAAATTCCATGTGATCTTCCACATCCCGACCTCATAACTGCCCTGAGTCTGAGGAAGGATTTTCAGCCCCAGTGCTGGTAGGATGGTGACTCTTGTTGAACAGCACTGAAGTGTTCTTGCATCAAAGAGCATCATTTCAAACCACCTAAAAACCCCAGCTGGATGCCAGTGCTGCACTCAGATGCAGATAAGAGACCCCTGAGATGGAATGCTGTGAGGTGCAGACACTGCAGGTGTCAGTGCCATGCCTTGCACTCTCATGGGGCAAGGAAGAAAATCATGTTACAGAACAGCCACCGAGAGAGATTTCTTTGCTCCTCCTCTGGAGATGGAGCATGTTCTCCACTCCTCCCATCTCCTTTGCTTTTTCCTGGCTCTTGGATGCTGGGAGTGGAACCACATCACCCCAGTGCAGCCAGGGGTGCCTCGAGCTCTGGTGTGGCACATCAAATCTCCCTTCCTGGCACTCTCTGCCATGCAAGTGCCTTACCCAGCTCCTGCCTGCTCCTCTGCTTCATCCTCGAGTCCTTTTGCAACATCAGAGGAACATAAAAGGAAGGAAGAGAAATAACACCCTGAATATTGTACCTCCTAATTAGGCTGGCAGTAATCAAACAGCTTCTCAGGAGCACATGGAGGAAGGTTTGCTGGCACAGCAATACCCACTGCTGCCAGAGGAAAAGCAAGTTCCATCCTTGGGAGCACATGTGGTGTCCTGAGGTCACAGAGCAGCTTTAACTGATACAGGAAGACCTGGAGGAAGAAGGTGAAATCCAAATTCCTTCCCCACCTTTGCTAATAGTGTCCTCACTGTAAAGGGGCTTGTAGAAACTTCAGCAGCACAAGCTGTTCCTGTGATGTTGTTGTATAAATATGTTTTATGTATAAATATGCATTTGAATCCGTGTTTGGACTCAAACCTGTCTGTTCATCCAGCTGTCGAGTAACCTCTGCAAACAGCAGGGTCCTTCGTGACAGATTGAAACCGAGAAAACCGCTGCCTGTTCTGCAAAACATATTTAATTTGTTAAAGAGATGGGAACTTTGTTGAATTAATAAGATGTGCTAGAGTAGGGAGCCACTCTCTGAAGAGCTGAATCCTGGTTACAAGTGCAGTTTGCAGCTTGCTGGTAATCCTGCAATTAAAGCTACAGTACCAGCATATCACAAAAATGGGATTTGCATAATTTAAAATTTGAGGAAAATCTCTAAATACTTTAATTTTGATAGAAACTGTTTCCACTGCTGACATGTGTCTACACCTATAATTTCAGTTGATAAATTGCTGTAATTTCTCCTCCATTTCATGTTCTTTCTAACATTAATTGTCAGTTGTAGAGTAAAACAGTAGAAAGAGAGAGAGGGAGAGAATAATGTCATTGTGCTTTTGTGGTGTGAATAGCCTTCCGAGGAATGATTATCTTCCACACAGATGCAAACAAAAAAAAAAAAAAAAAAAAAAAAAAAAAAAAAAAAAAAAAAAGACCCAGAGAAAGACAGAGAGAGAGAGACCTCTTGGCTTGCACAAAACTACTGCAATGAGCATCAGTGTCTCACTGTGAGGTAGGGAAACAAGGAGTTAAAGCCAGGTGAATGTCCCTGGGAGTGGATGTGGCCGATTCCCAGGCTGCTGGAAGGAAAGAGGAACTTTCCACGGGGCTGTGGAGCTGCAGAGCATCTCTGGCAATGCCTAGCTGGAGGCCTGAGCTGCGTGATTCCAGGGATTGAATCCTCAGTGTCAGCCATCTCCTGTCTCAAACAAGACCCTCTCAGAGCCATCAGAACTGATGGACTCACCTGGCCGGGTTTTCCAGAAGGAAAACTGAGGGGAATAAAGGCAAGCAGCGAGTCCCTGCATGAAGCAGCTTCACAGCACCTCTTCCACCCATGACCTGCTCCCCATCCCACCTCCCCAAATGCCACTTTTCAAGCTACTTTTAAATAAAAACCCTTTCAAACAGAGGGCTAGTGGCACTAAATTATTCTATTAATTTATTATTCATGATGAAAAATTATTCTAATAAACGGTGAAAAATTATTCTAATAACATTCCATCCTATTAATATTCTGCAGCCAAGCAGTAAAAGTCACTTCCTGTGGCTGCTCCCCTCCTTAGCACTGATCTATTTCTTACAGAGTTTATTGAAATTAAAATCTGCTTCTTTCGAAATGTGCTGCATTTAACAAAACCAGTGGGGGGAGATGAGCTGTGAGCGAGGAGCGAATCAGGCAGCGATTTTTCCCTTCTGCTGACAGAGCAGGGGGATGCCTGGTGGGGTGGGAGCTGGGCAGACCCAAACTGCAGAGTCAGGGATGGCCCAGCCTGGGTCATTGGGGTGCTGTCACACTGTGGCTCATTAACCTACAGCACCCAGTATTGCTAATTAGTGCTAATCCAGTATCTCCCTCCATTTCCCAGTGCAGGGACACAGCCCCTTTTCCATCCCTTTCCTCTGGCTGGAGTCCTGCAAGCTCCACTGCTGCACCTTCCTCAGAACCCTGAGGCTGTGCCTCTGCTCACACCCCTTGTGCAGAAACCTCCCTGCAGCCCAGGAGCTGCATTTGATTGGGAACAAGTGGCACTTGCAGCCACATTAAGGATGAGGTTGGGGACCCTGCTGTCACCCAGGCCCTGTGGATGGTCCAGGCAGCAGCGTGCCACCCCTCCTCCTGCAGCTCCCTGTGCACTGGCACCACAAGCCTGCCAGGCTTTGTGCCAGGGACATTTTCCTAATGTTCCTCTGCCTGCTCTGCTCACAGCCCTCCTTGCCTGCCAGCTGGCTGGGGTGGTCCTGGGCCCTCACAAGCAGCTGGGGAGGTTCCATGCAGGGCTTGGAGCCTGTGTACAGGTGGCAGAGCATCCCTGGTGCCCAGCACAAGGTCACCAGGAGCCCACTGCTCCCCAGAGCATTTTCGGGGTTCCCACTCAGGGAAAAAGGATGTGGGAGGCTGTGGTGGGGAATTCTGGCTCCCAGAAGCAAGTCCACACAGCTGTCAGAGCTGTTCTGAGGAAATGTCCTACAGACACATGGCAGAGAGGTGTCTCAGGGTTTCTTTTGCAGCCATATGCAGCAAGATATTTCAGTGATTTTGGAGAACAGTGTTGCTGCTGGGCACTCCTGAACCTGCCTGACCTGCCTAACAAGGTGCCTTATTGTCTGGCTTTGCTTTCCCAGTGATCCAAACAAATCAGAGGGAGAAAAGGGTCCAGCTCTGCCGAGGAGCAGCACACCCACCCAT